CCGGGCCTTGCTGGCGTCTGGGAGAAATGCGGTGGCTCTCGGGCTGCTGGTCCGCCCCGTGTGTTGTGTCTCCGGCCGTGTCCGCACCGAGCGTGCGGCTTGCACTGGAGAGAGAAAATAATGGCAAAGCAGTGCTGCTTGTATAGCATGGCTGCTGCCTGCCTTACATCGTCATTTTTTTTGTTTTACCTGAAATTGACTCTCTTTTGTATCCCTTCCCTCAGAACATATGGATGAGTTGTATCTTTTTCTTGAAGTTGTGGTATTCTTTGCTGTATTACTCTCATAAGATCTCTTACTGTTTACCTCCTCCTCACTCCTAGAACTGTAGGTCTTGGAGGAATTTCCAGAAGTCCTCCAATTCCCCTGCCTTACCAAGGCAGGATCGGCATTGCTGCTGATAGACATTTGTCTAACCTGGTTACAACCCTCTCCGATGTTCACAATTTCACAGCCTCTCTAGGCAATTTAGTCCTTTTCTCTCTTCTCTTCTATCCATGTCCTTTGAATTTTTCTTGACCTCCTCCAGCTTCCTGAGAGAGAATCAGAGATCTTACCTTTGGTTCCCATTTCTTGTCAGTTTTGCACTTTGTCTCTTGATAATATTTGGAGACGTGAATTTGAAGTTTTTAAGCAAGCCACCGAAGTTTTACTCTGGATCTTATAATCCTGTTAGGAAGAAAGGATGTAAGTCTTGAATGTTGCTTTTCTGTCCGGCCAGATGCAGCTAACCAGTGTCCAGGACATCACCATGCCTTGTTTTGATGTTTATGCCAATAAGTCCTAGACCTTGTGATTATATAAGTAGCAAAATATAAATATCAAGGCAGATCTGTTGCTTGCTTAAAGCAAACAAATAATTCTTTGTCACGTGCATCACAGTGTACCTAATTTGAGGAGCAGGATTTCATCATGATTAATTTTTGACCTACTGAGATTGATTTGGCTTAACATACTTCTGTCATTTTGTCAGTGAGTTTCTTAGCTGGTTGTTTCACAGGAGGGTGTAGCTGGGAAATAGATTGGCAGCTTCATTCTGATGATCAGCGCTACCAGCATGCCACTCCCAAAGCAGTGGTTATTTTTTTTCCGCTGCTGCTTGAAAGTAATTTTTCTCTTCTTTTGTAGTTGGGAAGACCTCTCTGATCACCAGGTTTATGTATGACAGTTTTGACAATACTTACCAGGTATGTAGTAGTCTTTAGTTAGTTTGTTTGTTTGTTTTAAAAAATGTATATATGTACACATATATGGGTAAATCTATTCCCTGCTATTAAAACGTATGCCTGTGAGAACTGTTAGGGCCATGCATATTTCTCCATGAGGTGTCTGTTCAGTATCATATGTAAGGTTATAATGTGCCTTGAAATGGAGGTGAGATTTCATGATTAAGCCCATGCATCTAATATGATGTCAGCAAATACACTGTACAAAAAAGAAGCAAGGTTTAGATCCTGTCTGGATACGTGAGAAGCCTTGAGGAAAACAGGGAGAAACATTGGTTTGTGGGGTTGGCTAACAGAGAAGGTGATGGTCAGGATGCCTGACAATGGATATGGAAGTCTTGGGAAACAGAGAGAATGTGTAAGATACAAACATACTTATGACAGTTCTTCGTCTCTGGCACCTTTAGAGGCTTTCCATTTAAGTAGGAATAGTTGAGTCTGGAGCGTATACATAGATCTGCAAGAAGTCAGCATGGTGTATTCTCTGTCTCAATTTTTTTTTATTATTACTATTTTTTGAACTAAAAGGCTATAGATAGAAAAAGGCGGGGGAAGTCTT